ATGCGTATACTTCAATCCTGGAAAAGGATTTTCGAATCCGTGAAAGAGAAAAAGAGTATTCGTTATACAAAAATTATATGTGTTTAGTCGGTAATACAGACGTCTTTAGGATCCCCTTAAGGGGATGCTGGAGTCTTCTTTTTTACCGATAAAGCAAGCGTTTATGTTCCTTGCGCGGTTCTTCGAATTAGTTGCACAGAATAAAAATTCTTTCTCCACGATTGAAATATCTGTACTAATATACCTGCTCCTGGTGTATTTTGTGTCCAAAACTGGGAAAAATAATAAATTACAGATTCCTGTATCCATGTGCTATCAGCTCACCAAACATTTACTTCGTGAAAAAATTATATGCACGTTATATGCTCGAAATTAGGGCAGGAGCACATGTAGAATAAATAGACGATTACAGTCGTATCTTTAGAATTAAGTTTTGACGCCTAAATAAAAAGATTAGCGCAAGGAACGAAATTGTGTGTCTAGCGCGTGAGAAATCGACGATGTATGACTGTTTAGCCATGAAACCGAGCAGTATTTTAGTTGATCTCATTCTAAGAGATGGCGTTGCAATATGTTAGATAAGGACAGATGAATGCGTTTGAGTGAGACAAAACGATATATAATAAGTATAAGAAATGAATGAAAGATGTCACTATTGTCGAATTTGGAATTTAAAAGTCTGTATTATCGACCTTGATTAACTTCGACCGTCACTCCAGCATCCCCTTAGGGTGGAGTCCCATGAAGCGTGTTTGCCGCGTATCGCGTAACCGCGTAACCAATCAATAATCAGTAAAACGCGAAACCACAACAGCGGATCGCTTCTGATTGGTTACGCGGTTACGCGATACGCGGTAAATACACCTCATGGGACTCCAGACTTAAGGGGATCCTAAAGACGTCTGTATTACCGACTAAACACGTATAATTTTTGTATAACGAATACTCTTTTTCTCTTTCACGGATTGGAAAATCCTTTTCCAGGATTAACGTATACGCATTAATACGTGTTTGTGAAATGGAGTCTACGCTGACAATGATCAACAATTTCGAAATCGATATATTTTTTACCATTTCTTAGTGTAACATGACGTCTCAGCTGTCAAGTCGGCTG